TTTTTTAAGTTTCTTGTAAGCTATAACAAAACTGGCCCTAGGAAGAAAGAAAGAAACCTGTCTATTTATATTCATAGGACTTCCACGTAATCCTTATCTACGCGCCCGACGATAGAGCGGTCGTTTACGATTTAGATAGCGCGTTGCCATTTCCCACGCATTTCTGGAAATACGCGATGGAAACGTTTAGATCGGACGAGGTTCTGCAACCAGAACATCATAGAAGATTCAGAGTGGTGCCAGCCAGTGTATACCTGCGGGAGTTCGCCTCCGATCGACATCACATGAAACGCGAGGATGGAACATGGATCAAGACACCGCCGGATTATCCGCCAATTTCGACATCAAGTATGTTCATTAAATATGATTAATCTTTTTAGTGCCGATAGTGTCGATCATCGTTGGTTTTTATTTAAGAAATGTGTAGAATTATTGAATAAGGAAAGTTGTCTTTTGGAATATATTGGCTCTTTAATTCTTAATCACGTGTTCATTTTTTAATTGTACAACTATAATTCAATTTTCATTACTGAAATAATTATTAATAATTAAAATTCTTCGCTCTTTTTTTCAATGAGAATTTAGATTCCTTCTTATAGTTATTTGATCCAAAATTGTCCTGAATTCTTTCTAAAGATATGGGATCTTTCCGTGAAATCTTTATGAGATGAAACAGTATTTAATTATCAAATTCATAATTATTATTGAAATCTTAGAAACACGATAGAAAAGAAAGACAATTTTTAAGAATGGTTAGGATCATTTTTTTAATCGGCATTGAAATGTTAAGGAGTACGCAACCTAAAGGACATTTCTCTTATTATATACACGTATTTGTATTTTCTTTGCAAACATTCCAGCGTGCAAGGATAACTTGGATTCCTTTATTAATATGGATCCGGGGACCGGGTTCGGGGTTGTGTTGACCTTAGACCAATTATTCGACCGATTTCATAGGCCGAACGCGATCCCAACGGCACCTCGTACACCTCATCCGCAACCGACACCGACTTAAATAAACCGCTAAGTAAGTTCCGCAAAGGATAACGATTGTTTGCTTCGATTTTCCAATTTGTCGACAAAATGAATTGTATGGCCTAAGGGAATTGGTTAAGTGCATGTACCTTTTGTGAACTGAAATTATTCGGTTAACATTTGATAATGACGTTTTATCTAAGCATTGTTCATTATTCCGAATCGCCAGTCATATCTCTGTGAAAATGATAATACATAGATTGGAACCGATCGTTTCATTTCTATCGACATTCTTAACTCCGCTGTGTATACTGTTTTAATACACTGTCCCTGTTTAAATGTGCCTCACGCCTTTTTTACTCTTGCCTTTGATCGAATTTAAATATAAGATATTACGTCTGACGCACAGAATCTCTTTGATTGCCGTTGGTTAAGTGCTACTATGGGAAACCCGTGCGAAATCGTATACTTAAGATTTTAGGTATACAATTTTTAATTTACGAAATGAATCGTGTACTTGAAACGATTAACATTATCAAAATGTTGGGAAGGATTATTTCTTCATGAGAAATTAATATTGACATAATATAATCTCTTTTTACAATTTTCAGGACAAAACCGTACATGCTATATAATATAATGATTAAATATTGAAAATATTAAGAATCATGTATCATAATCTGTGCAATGTACTATATTTAATCTTAGGGCAAACTACTTGTACTATATTTTACTTTCAGCCATTCGATATACCTAAAAGGTATTTTCCCAGTTATTTAATTTTATTCCCAACAATTGTATTTTTGAAATTTTTAGAACAAATTAAAACATTAATTCATGAGCAATTACTTCAGATATAATAATATATTTAAATATTCAAAAGGATCTCCGCATTAGTAAATTTATATATCATTATGTGGTTTTAAAAGAGACTGATAATTATTTTATTGATTTTGTTTCTTAATAATTATATTAAAAGGAAAAGATAATACAACAAGAATGAAATAAAAAGGTAAATTATTCAGAGTTTCTCAATTGATTTTATATTTTGTTGTAGTGAATTGATTAATCCATTAATGTTACTCAGATCTCAAACGTTATTTTTAATGATGTATTTTTCTAGTCTTTTTTTATCTTGTTTTATAAATGTTCACTGTATTTTATATTTTGAGATTGCGTGGGCGTATAAACTTGTTTGATTAATTTTTAACCTTCTTCATCGTATGCCTTGGGTCATTATTTTATTAAATAATAAACTATCCTTGAAGATTTAACTTACTTACGATGCATTCTCGTTTAAAATGTACAAACAGACATGTTAAATGTCCAATATTCGGAGATTTTTTTCAATTGAATGTGTGTATTGCTTTTATCTTATATGAATGTGCTCTAAAAAGTATGCACATCAATTTTTACTTGCAATTAAATGTGAAATTGGTTATCTATCAATTTTAGTAAGATTTGGAGTCCCTATGTGTATAATTTACACATTCTCCTTTGGATAGCTACGTTAAAATTAATTAATTATCTTGTGTTTGCTTGCCGAATTACAATATGATATAAATTGATAATATTAATATATTTCCCTATATAAATTATCTATCAATTGCTAAACCTCTTTATAACATTCCATGTTGTAATTCTCGTGATAATTTACACTTTCCATTTGGAATACTTATATATTAATCCTAATAAAAAATAATTCCTACTAACTATGTGTTTATTTGTGATTAAGTATTTTTTCAGGTAAATTATTAAAAATTCCATCTATATTATGATTTTTGTGATACTTTATACCTTACAATTAGTGATAATATTTAAAAATAGATTCTTATTAATTTTCTGCTTTTTTACCGAATCATATAGTGCAATATAAAGAAATAATATTAATTCAAATTACCGAAACTCCATAACAATCCATATAATTCCTGTGATAATTTACATTTTCCATTTGGGATATCTATATATATATTAATGCTAATAAAAAATGATTCTTACTAACTATGTGTTTATTTATAATTAAGTATTTTTCCAGGTAAATTATTAAAAATTCCGTAATCATCTATGTTATGCTAGCATATATTAATGCTAATAGAAAATGGTTCTTATTAACTATGTGTTTCTTTATAACTAAGTATTTTTCCATGTAAATTATTAAAAATTCCATAATCATCTATATTATGAATCTTGTATACCTTACTTTACCAATATTTTATACCTTATTGATAGTATTTAAAAATAACTATGTTTATTTGCCGACTCAATATAATAATATCAAAAGAAATAATATTAACACCAACTACTGAAACTCCACAATAATTATTATTATAATTCTTGTGATATTCATATTTTCTATATAATATTTAAAAACTGATTCTTAATAACTGTATTTGCATGTCGGATTTTTTACATCATTCATAGCAACATGTGTACGGTTTTGCCTTGGTATGCGATTTGATATGGGTCTTTCCTATTATTATTATCGAGTGCTTTGATTCCAAAGATAATATATTATAAAATCGAAGCCTCGATACTCAATCAATAGGAGCGATAATAACGAGGAATAAAAAAGAACGAAGGGCACATCGTTCAATCTTTCCTGGGTCCTCTCGTTGTCCCTCGGCTCCTATAGTGTCTAAACATTTCTCCATTTTATTGAGAAAATGAAAGTTTACAAGGAAATCTCACGTCTTTAGGCAAACCGATTTTTTTATATAGCGGTGGTTCTACTTATGTGTGGAAATGAAAAGAACTCGATTGAACATAGGTAGCAACATCGTGATAAAAAATGATTTTTGCAAGGACGTGTGCTTTCGCCAATAATCTCTATTTCATCCCTCTCTATTTCTACACTATGCTGTCATATTTGTCCCCTCTTTTTAAAAGCTTTTTTTACAAAGCCTTGCCAATAATCCCGTCTCTCTCTCTTTCTCTCTTTCTCTCTCTCATTGTCTGCTACATGTTAACTATCGACCGTATTCCAAGTTTTCTGGATTCCGACCCAGAGTAGTAATCGGCGATGATTGTTCTCGTCTTCATTACGTGAAATCTTAACCGCGTCTTTGCTCCATGGTGGTGTTACTGTTGCAATTATTGTGTCAAAGACTGATGTATTTACGGACAAAAATCCGAGGAAAAAAAAAATCCGTTTGACAACGTATTTTACCAGCGCTTTTACTACTAGCGCAGTTGCATAAAAAGAAAGCGTACAATATGCGCTTTACGGTCGTTGTGCAACCGAAATAGTAAGGGCGAGAATGTGTAATCTTTGCGAATAATGTAAAATTATGATAGTTACTGTTCTTGTGATACTTTACACTTTCTACTTTTGAATACCTACGCTAATACTATAGTCTAAAAGTTGATTCTTAGTGGTTGTGTGTTTGCTTGTCGAATGACAAATTTTCTTTGAAAATCGAGTGGAAACGTGTTCCACGTGACCAATTTTGTCGTCTGACATCGAAATGTTGTTTTTCGAATCAACGAACGTCCCTCGAGACCCTTCGAAATGAAATTTTGACAACGAAAAATCTCGGACACTCTCCGATCCTTCCGGAATTGGAATCTTATTCTATCTTCGCGATAGATTTCTTCTCCACTTCCCTGTCCATCAGTCTCAATGAAAACACTCCTATCTTCCTCTACGAAAACTTCGAGAATGTAAATTTCTATTGGCATGTAAAAATTGCTACGATCTCGTCGAGAATAACTCTACTTTTGCATCAAGGCTCTTTTACTTAGTTAAGACGTTCTAGCAAATCTGTCGTTTCTTTTTCGCTGTGAGCGTGATATGATGCGATAGAAAATTTAATCGACAAGTGAATGCAAACGGGTTGTCGGTTTCTCGTGTCGATGGAACGCCGTTGTTGAAAATTCCGGCGAAGAACCGACAGTCACGTTTATAGTTTAAAAAGTTCGTCCACTCTTTGCCTTCCAGCATCTTTCACTAGATCTCTTTGTCTTTTATCATCGGACATGTGTTTTCTCTCTAATTCACTTTATATCATGTTACTGTATTTGCATACGTATTTGTAAACAGGCGTGATCTGCGACTTGTGAGACAATTGGATGTGTATCGTTCTAATCAGTGTTGGGTAAAAATTATTTAAAATAAAAAACAAGAAGATAATTAGATAATTAATGTTGTTCGTGAATAATTAATAAAGAAAAATAATTCGTTATCGTATCATTTATTATTCGATGTTTTTAAACAGAATTGATATTTCTCAATTAATTTTACATGTATGTAAAAGGCGAAGTATTAAATATATATAAATTTCATAAGATACATGTACTTGCGTTTATTAATATATTCTTGGGAATATAAATTATGTATATCATTATTGTTTATGTAATATGTAATATATATTCCAAATATATAAATAACAATTCATTTATATTCCGAAGTATACATTAATAAACTATAACAAACATTTCAGAATTTATAAATTATTATGCGTAGCCTGAACGAGACTGAAATAAAATTATACATGTATGGTAACATGAATAATGTAAATTATCTTTATCAGAGTAAAGATGAAATGAACAATTGGAGCAACATTAATTGAAATTTTATTCGAATATGAATACCCAACGCTGGTGCTGACGTCAAAGTGCGATGACGCGGAAAAAGTCTTGTCGCTTCTATACATCGTATCGTATGCGAGAAACCCGGGACCGATTTTTTTAGCATGTAATATCTTCGATTACCAAAATGCAAAAAAAAAAAAGAAAAAAAAAGAGAAAGAAAAATGGTAAAAAGACCTAATCTTTATCATTCAAGATATCGCTATATCAGAAGAAATTATTATATTGTCATGACAGTGATAATTATTGTATATATACATATTGTTCACATATACATATATATATTTATTAATATTTCATATTTATTATATTGATATTTTTAATTGAATCATATCTATTTCGATACACCGATGAAAGAGAGTTTCGAAATGTTGAATTACGCAGTTTATCGACGTTTGACATATTCTCTTACCATTGTCATTTTACGATAATACATATAACACTGTACAACTCTGTGGAAAAAAAAACAAGAAATGAAACAAATCACAAATCTTTACTCGCATGTTCACCGAGAATTATAAATGGGATAAAAATGGAAAAGTCTATCTATTGAATTTCGCCCTTTCAGATCCACATAAAACAGTTTTTAATAAATGGATGCACTCCGTTTTGTCTCTTTGAACTTCTCTCAATGTGTGCTGTCACGATTTTTATGAATCATTACCAAGATCCTCTTTTTCTCTCCTCTTTCTCAGGTGAGGGCGCGGCATAGTGAAACGACCGAACGAAAATACTTCCAAAATATGGTAATCGAAGCTCAATCCTCCAATTAATTTCGCTCCTTTTCTTTTCTGTCGAATTCCCGATCGAACGGTGAACAGTTTTTAGCACGATTTTTCCATACTCTCTGTTTCACACGTTTCAACATGATATTCGGTGTTTTATTGAAATTGTCTATAATAAAGATTTTGCTCAGAGTATGCGCATAATGTATCCCCGGCGTTTTATTAGATCATTCTGGCGAAGAGTCATACAGTAAGCATTGGGAAGTGAAAACAAAAGAAATGACGCGCAAATTTTCAAATGTATACTGTATTCAGTTTGCAAAAAATATATAATGTATAATTACAAAAGTTACATATTGAATTATGGTATTTAACACCCCGCAACGCAGTGAACGCATTGTCGAGTTACATTCATTTAGTATACTGCACTTACGGTTTTTGTAAGGAGGTCTTAGAGTTTACAATGCAATTTCTATCAGTTTACGTCTGGGATATTGCAATTTAGGTAATATGTACTTTTTTTAGAACGTGGCAATATGACAGGCAGTAAAAAAATAACATTTATATTTGTTTAATTCTTAATTCGTATCGTTGGGTTACAAGGTCATAACGATAGAATTGAATTAATTAACCGTAGAATTTTATTGCCAATCTCTCTATAAATATAATACTCCAAATTTTATCTAACATAAGCCTATAACCCAATGATACTATTTGAGAATTAACAAAATTAAAGATCTTCTGGGTATCAGATTGCATCGTACTTCTCATCACTAATCATCTTTGTATCGTAATAAATAACTAACGGTGATACGAGTACTAAGTGAAATAGCAACGAGCAATTCTTTTAATGTAATACTAATCATTATGCATCTTCTCCTTTCTTTTCTTAGATTCTTAACAAAAAAAAAAAAACAACCTGAATATTTTCTTTTTCTAGACTTTTGCAAAGTAATACTAGAACAATAAATATTCATAGAATAACAGACATGTAACTAGAAGTTAAGTAATGCTGATACTGACTTACATCGAACATAAGTAGGTGCATTAATTTTTCATTGTCCTCTGTTCTCGTTTCCCAACGATGAATTCCTTTCCTTTTATTTCAACAAATTACGCAAGTTAGAACTTCTGCTAAAATATCTCTAAATAAATTTTTTTCCTCCTTTTTTTCTTTCTCTTTTTTTCTCTTTTCTTTTCACAGAACAAGTGTTCTCATCAATATATAACTAGGTTTCCCCTGGATTTCACGTTCGATAGTACGGCCTGTAAGTAGACATCGGAATATTGTTTTTCGATAAATGGTGAACATCACCTTGATCGTATTCCACGTCGTTGTAGATTCCGCTTTGATTCTGAAATAGAGAGGCGTCGTGTCGTCGGAGTGTTGGCAAGTATCAGAGCGTTCCAATCACGTATTGGAAAGAAGGAGGAATACTCACTGCCAAGGATGACCTGGACCTCGGCCTGGGAACGTGAAAGCCGCTATTCTGCGGAATTAGATCAGCCCTGTCCTTATCTTGCGGCTCGGAATCCGAGCTGTCTGGATCTGGCTGATGTCTTTGTCGAGGTCTCGTCGGTGCTTGAAGTCGAGGCAGTGGCACTGGCGGCAGTGTTCCATGAATATTCAAGGGTGGATACCCGAATACGGCGGAACTTGGTCGAGTTGGACCCATAGGTTCCGTCTGGCGTTCAATAAAAATATTAATTAAAATATCATTTGCCGTTCATTTTTTCTTATCCCCTCGTTCCTAATTATTACTATTTGGCAAGTAGTATTGTTCAATTTCTAACAGAATCGCATTATTTAATTTAGGAGGTAAATGTTTTTTTAAGCGAGGAAAGTTTTCTTCAGTTATTGTATTTAGTATTTTTAAATTGATTTCGTAATTATCAACTATTGTCTAATTTTCTTTCATTTCTTTTAGGTAATTTTCTTCTAATTTACCACAAAGAGAGATCCGTTCATTTGTCACGAGGCTTTTTAATGAAATATCAACAATACCTATATTTTTCTTACAAGCTTTTGTTATTAGTTAAAGGAACGTTGGCCGTTACTTTTATTACTCACAGCGTATACATTGGCGGTAGCCATGTGGTCGCCAAAGTGTGCCCACATATACGGTGGCAAATTAGTCGGTGGCCCTTGTTTCACGGAAGCAAGAGTACCTACAGAACCCACCCTTGCCAAAGTTCCTGGAAGGGTACCTGGAATGCCACCCTGAATGTAACCGTACACCGGAGAGCCGACCGATTTTTGTTCACGCGACCATCTTCGACTACAAGAGAGAAAAATTCGTTATCCTTCATTCTATAAAATATATAAAGTATATATTGTATAAATTCTATATAAAAATATATATTTACCTCCACATAATCAGGCAAATTAAAGTCAAAACTATAATTATTAAAGCTGCTACGGACGCTCCTATCGCTACCCCTAATACCTCTCCATCGACTTCACATTGAGCACCATAATAATTACCCGTGCACCTTGAAAAATTGATTCAATCGATTTAAGGTTATTTTAATTTAAAAATTAATAGCCACCATTATTTCTTTTTTCCCTCTCTTTTTTTCTGTTGTTAGATGATTTCATTTACTCACGTGCACTGCATGTGGTCGCCCTGGTAAGAGCACGACCCCCGATTGTTGCAGTAAGTCGAAGGACACGAAATACAAGTTCTGCCAGATTCATTAGCATCGTCCTTATGAGGATCTTTCAAACCAGGATTGCAAGTGCAAGTAAATCCACCCCAGTTATTCGTGCAAACGGCCAAGGAGTGACAGTCGTTCAGTTCCGACGATGCACACTCGTCTAAGTCTATAGAAATGACAAGGTATCGATTGATTTTTATTGCTTCTAAATTTACGATTAGTCATACTCTTTTGTTTTATTTTTTTTACGTTCACCTTGCAAATTTGATATAGATCCAGGTGGACTATCGACGTAAAGAGCGCTGTTCCCTATATTGTTGCTCCTTCTGTGAATAACACCGAGCAGATGTCTCTGCAGCTCCCCTGCTAGGCTTGATCTAATTGTTCTTGGTTCGTAAGTGAGTTTCAAGGTTGCATTCACAAAGACACCCCCTTGCCCTTGGCTCACATCCCCCTGATATACTCCATTTATGAACGAACCCATATACTCGTCCGAAAACGGTGTCATCGACATAGCAGATTCGATCTATAGGTAACAGGAAAAAATTCATCGTTTACTCCTTGACAGTGTAATCCCAAGAGAGGATTATTAAATATAATACAGGGAAGAAACATGATTCAAAATTAGATTTATCATTTATTTTTGAGAAACTTTGGAAGTTATTTCCTGTCCGATCATTTTTGTTCAGTTCTGGATCACTTTGAAATTTTATAATATAATATGAAAACATTTTGTTGGATTTTCAAATGAACTATTTAGATTTTTGTCACTGTAAGTGAACTGTGGATTTAAGAACGTAAAAACATAAAAGTGATGAAAGTAGAGATACTTGCCAAGAGTTTTTCTTAGTGAATTCTACTTTTTTAGAATATTTTCCATTTTGTTAGACTGTCAAGGGGTTAATATTTTTCAATACTAAACTCACAGCTCGATTTGCTTCGTAGGCTAACGTTTGATAAGGCTCAGAATCCCTGTCGGTGAATCCTCGATCCCAGACAACTTTCCTGTCATAGATCTTATCTACTCTAATCGATACCACGATGCTTATTATTTCTACAAACAACAAAAGTTGGTAGTTTAGATTAACGTCCAATGAAAATTCGCGAAGAAGGTAGGCCTTCAAAACGTTTACGAACTTTTGCATGGCAAGGAATGTTGCAATCTCGCATATCCTGGTTTACAGTGACATGCGGATACTCCTTGAACAGTGGCGCAAGCCTCGTGCTGACTGATGTCACAAGTGCTCGTGTCGCCTACGATACAAGTGTCAATTCTAACTGGAGGTTGAGTCGGTCTTCTGTGAAACGTTGGCCTTCGAATAGACCCATTTGGTCGTGGAGTTGCTGTTGGTGGATCTGGCTGTGCGACTGCAAACCTGTGAGAGAAAATTAAAATCAAATTTAAGGCTTTTATTCGAAAATCTCTACTTGATCTATTGAGGACCAAACGATAATTTATGATGGTTTCTTTAGTGAAAAAAGCGAATTTTTGAAATTTTTTTTTATAGATATAACGGACTTTGATAATGTAAAGTGATTGAGAAATATTGCAACAAATAGACTGGTCCTGGCCCTTAAGAGATTGAAAATTAAATATTTGAACTTGGAAGTTAAACGATAGAATTCAGAAATCTGAAAGTAGAATTTTACTTATTATTATTAGATACTTTCAGAGATCTGAATGTAGAATTTACTTAGATAATTTTGAAGATCTGAAAGTAGAATCAATTTTATAGTCAATAATTTTTCAATTTGAAATTCATATAAAAATTTGTAAAAATACTAACCCTGTGCCAACAATGGCGGGTGGTTGAGTCCTAGTTGGTTGAGGTTGCTGTTGCACGTGCGTCGAAGTTCTATCAGAATTCTCAAATAGATTCATATACGTTCTTTTCCCGTCAATACTAACGAATCCTTGGCCTTCCACCGCGGAAGTGAGGATCACGTCTACGTTTCCTCCGTTTACTGGTACTCGAACACCTTCTCCTGATGGTTAAAGGTGGATAGGAATTATAATTATCGACAAAGGTCAAAAGCGTGTGGACACTTGTCATTTTTGTGTCATCTACTCTTATATTGGTAAATTCTTTTATGAATACTCTAGTAGTGTTCAAATATTTAAATAAATGTTTATTCGTCTAATGTCATAGAATTAAATGAATTATAAATTGTACAGATTGCTCTGTTACAATATGAGAGTATTTTGAGGAAATTTATAGAATTAACAGTATTATTTTAAGAGAAGAAACATAATTATACAATGCACATAAAAATTGAGAAGAAGACACGAGAGATTACCATTAGATACTTAATAATTTACTGGAAAAGTATAACTCCTCTAAACCGGAATAGATAAAATTCACTCGAATTTATCAAAGATTTAAGTAGATGTGATAAATGACAATAGTGTCTGCCATATTTTTGAGCATTGTATCAGTGTTTACCGGAACTTGCACCACCCGGGCCTTGAATAGCCGAGACCGTGACATCAAAAATATCACCGAGAGGTGGATGTCTTGGTGGCGCGTAAGGCCGTTGAGTAGCCAGTCCTTGGCTTCCCGTGTAATCCAAAGTATCGTCGAGGACGATCCCAGGCCTGGGTCGGTAAGCGTAGCGATCCGTAGGCACTACAAAGGAAGTTAATTGAGCATGCCGGCACTCGACAAAGGAAATTAATCGAGCATAGTTGTTCGTTGCATCCGTGCGAGGAATTCATTATAGACTGAATGCAGTATTGTCTTATCGAATGAAAAAATTTGTACGGGACGCGCAACCGAGCGAATGTCGTACCTGAATTCTTCGAGAACGTGTTCATGGTAGGATGGACGATGCTTTTCTCGGTGGTCGACGAGGTCTTGGTGAAAATCGAAGGTAAACTCTCAGTTGGCGTTGGAACACTCGATGCGGCTGTACCTTCCGATTCTATTGTTTTGCTAGGTTCAAGAGTTATCGTGCTTGATGCACCCGTGACGTTACTTAAATTAGCATTGATATTCGTGGCTGCTGGAGTTGATTGGACGACAGGTTTGCTAGACGTTGGCTCGATTATATGAACCGACGAGCTGGTCTCGATGTTCAACGTTGACGTGGAATAAGATTTCGTTGACGTCTTGGGAATATTCGGCTTACTGTTCGATTTTTCGCTGTTCGTACTGGAACTGGAACTTTGAGAGTCGTTGATCTTGGAGGCTTTAGTAGGTTTGATTGGAACCTCTAGTGGAATCACAGGCTTTGGAGAACTGTCGTGCTTGGTGAAATCCGTTTTGTGCACGTCGCTAGATTGAGTCACGTTTACTTTGGACGGAGCTTGATGCTTGTTCTCTTTCTTACTGTTAGTGGAGTCGGGACTTTTCGTTGAGTTCTGAGCGAATGGTTTCTCCGTGATCTTCGAGTCTGTTTTAACTATTTGATTGTTGTTCTCTTCGTGATGTTTAGTTGCGTTCTCTATGGCGTTCGTAGTGGTAGCCTCACTCTGATCTGTTTCTTCCTTTTTCGTGGAGGATTCCTCCAGCGATGGAAATTCAGAGTTCTTGTTTTGTTCTTTCTCTCGATTGAAAGTGGAGTTCGACGATGGTAGCTTGTAGGGAGGAATTGGTCGCCTGTTTCCACCTGATTATGAGATTGTTAATAAAATAAAATGGTAAAATGATATTGTTATTATTTTATAACAATATTACTCTACTAAGAGTAACATCAAAGACCATATAGGCCAAAAAAAAAGAAGAATATCTAGTAATATTACCAGGACGATTCCAAGTCCATGGGCGATTTCCTTGAGGGACAATCTGCTCTGGCAATGGAACTCCGCTGATAAAAGGTCTAATCGGTCTTTCAGGTGGTAGTTGGTTAATCAGTGGTTTATCAGGTGCTGGTGGTTTCTCGAAAGGATAGGGATGATCAGGTGGCGGGGGTGGGTTCATCCCAGGCGTGTCGAAATCAGGCGGTAGTGGTGGAACATCGGAGATTCTTGGTGGTCCTCTGTTATTAATCCTAAAAGAAACATAATTAGATATTAATACACAAACATTAGACTAAAGTATAATTTGTTAACTAAGTTTTAGAAGTTAAACAATTATTCCTTAAAAGAAAGATTGAACGACAAAATGTATCGTAGAATTTAATAAAATTATTTCCTGATCTCCTCGTTCTTTTGCAAGAATAACTGGCATGTTTGGATATTCATAAAGATACAAATTTGCACAAATATCCGCAATCTAATAATTCTGTAGAATTCACGTATCGCTGTACCTGGTGGCTTGAATCGGCCTCAGAGGTCTCACCGTGTTGGCGGCAACGTTCACGTTCCCGTTCAACAATTTCACTATTCCCGTGATAATATCCTGTATGTCAGGATTTGCTTGTCGATGAGAGGCGGTCTGCAGTATCGGTGGTGGAGCGTGATCGCTATAGATCCTCGGAATCTCTTGGCGAGCTCGTCTTTGTTGATCTATTGCCTGCAAGTACTGTGCCTGTTGGTTTGACACTCCACTCATTTGATGGGGCTCCGACAAGAGTTTTGCTTCCTGCGGAGCCCCTAGTCCTTCCCCCGACATGGATTCACTGGTCGTTGGTGATATGCTGTTGATCATTTTAATATCAATGATTTACAGGAAACGTAAAGGTATATCAATCTTTAAACAGTATGTAATAGAATTTCTGTAATTTATTTATTCTGTTCTATGGTCGTCTCAGGGGTTTTTTTTTAATGTAATTAGAGGCAAATTTTATTAGATTTCCTTTTTATTAAACATTGATATTATACTAAGACGGTAACAATTTAGGAATTCAGTCCTAAGCTAAATCTATCCGCTAAAATGTGATTTAAATATGACTTGAGTATTATAAGCCACATATTTTTTTTTTTTTTTTTTTTTTATGAAAAAATAGTTGTAGAATTCATCGGTTAATCCTACGGTACCAAAATTTTCTCAATTTACATTGAAATTTCAATTGACTTACTGGTAATATTCACCGGGTCTAACTTCGATGTTGTTTCCATCGATGTGGTCCACGTGTTTCGACGAAGTTAATTCATCAATGGATTCCTCGTGCCTGGTGTTCCTCGTCTCGAACCGTACATCCTCTTTGTCGTAATTATCGACACTTTTCGAGCTTTCCAGTTGAAAGGCCGGAATTGTTTTCTGAAAAGTCGGTGATTCATCACGGTGAAACACGCTAGAGGTTCTTTCCGGTCCCGTGTACGCGCTGGCACTGAGGATTACGTCTTCTTGCGAGGAGCGTGATGACGTTGGATCGTTTTGGATAGCCGTGACACCTGTCAACAATTAGACAACAGTTTATAATCGGCGAGACGCGAGCAATCTTACGTTTCATTCTTTTTTTTTTTCACGAGCGAAATGCGATTGTCCTGGAATAAAATAGATAATTGCATCGCGATGATGAGAATTTCCTCTGTTGCGTGAGAATGGCATCATTTCACCGGAGATAAAATAATTTTGCCAGGGAACGGTACTCGATCGAAACGATCTTTCATTGTGCTCTGCTCTAGAATATTGTAAAACTTCAAACGCCTCTCAAAGGGCTTTTTTCAAAATTTTCACAGTTCACGATTACATGTTACTAAAGATCAAAGTTTCATCTTCGTTAAGTTAAATAAAATGGTAAAAATATTAGTGTTCGTCATCGTGGATATAGTCGTGAAAGAAATCGATTTTTATTTTCTTCTAGAAATGCTCGAGGCAGGAAGAAATTTCGCGAATAAAATTTCACGGATGGGACGTGAAACGACCTAGGTTGCTTACGGAGGATTAAGAACATGGCTCTGGCTCTGGAACATGTTTTCAAAAGCAATGATCGATCGGAAACGTACCGCGTAAGCCTGCGTTTCCATCGACGTACGATCAATCAGCCATTCACTTAAATCACCTTGGTAATCGCAAGAAACGTCGCGTTGTCGATAGTCGTGGAAGGGTCGCGATCGACGGTGGCAAAAAATCGAGAAGATCCACGGCCGATCGGCAAGGAAAACGGTACTCGAACGGTTGACATTCTCGAGGCTGGTGTATCGAGTGGTTTGACCAACCGTGGACGTGACGCGTATGAAATTACCACTGTCTCTTTCCTCGTTCTTCGTTCGTTCCTCTGGCCAGTTGGCTCGTCTCACACTCTTCCGTCTTTTATACACGACATACAAGGGGTGAAAAAGGTCGACGTCGTCAAATTGGTTCGTACATTTTTGGTGAGAATCACCTCGTAAGATAGTATCTTAGATTCTACATTGCTTAATTTTAGAACTTTTAATTTAATTCAATTTAACTCCATTACTAATCTTTATCAGAGAGGATATGAAAAATCAAATTCTTTGTTTGGAAGGGTGTTTTTTATTCCCATAGAACTTTCTTCTCTAATTCTTTCTTTAGAGAGGTTGTTTTTACCATTATGACAGCATTCTTCAGTCATTTGTCGAAGTTTTCAATTTTTGTTTGAATTTTCCTTGTCAGTCGTTCTTCTGTATACAATAGCTTCTGAAGCCTCCGATAATCTTGGTCACTGTTCCAGGTTTCTGTACGATAAATTCAGAACGCCGATCGTCACTATCGAATCACGATGATCTCTACCTGACAGCAGCTACCAGTCGTAGTTTCACTTAAATTGCTTCGCGCGTCGTTGAATTGTTGCATAGAAATCTCCCATTGTTTCTGTCCCGTCTAGCACGGAATTTCAATGCGCGCTGCAACTGTATCTAACCGAAACCGTAAAACCGTTTTCTGTATGTACACGTGTGTAGCCGCGTCGAAACGACGAGCAGTAAAAGCGATATTAAAACTGGAAAGTCGAATAAACGCCACGGGGAACGTAAACTGTTCGATTGCGTCATGAAACGTGTAGCAATCCACGAATGAAGATTAAACTTTCGGTCCCATTTTTCTTTTTTTTTTTTTTTTTTTTTTTTTTCGATTTTTCCATTAAACGATTTAATCTCAGGATGTTACTTTCATTTCGGACGCAGTGGCGGCTAAAAGGAAGTTTACAATTTGACGTTTATCTACGCGTGTTTGTACAGATGAGATAAGACATTTTTATCAATATTTGCAGAACAGAAGTCGTAAAAAAAATTCGTATTTTTCTTGTCGATAGAGCAGTTTAGCTACAATTTCTACAACTGCGAGATTGAAGTTAACTAGAGACTTGCTCTATCCGTTAGGCTATCTATCCGTAATCAGTGATTCGCTGTATTTTACATATTTTTGCATATTCCGTAGATTTTTACGCTTTTAATATGAATACATATTCCGCATTCCAGCTGTAATATCGCGATAATTATGATAATCATTAGAATGCAAACATTTATATATCTGCAGGAAATTCGAAGTAATTTCAAATGAAGAATTTGAAATAACATACATATAACAAAAAGAATTACCGTGTTATTAATTAATGAAACAAATTTCTTTTCAAGTTTCACCGCTTTAGACACGTTTATAAAAATATAAATATGGACAGAAGTCGGCAGCCTTGTAGCACGAATTTTTTATTTTTACTGAGAAGTGATTTTCATCGATCGAAAAATATTCAACCATGTCAACGACTCGCATAATAATGTCGAATAAAGTCTAAAAGAGCTAATCTTGGCTGCCAAGGAGAAATATTATATATAATATTCGCGTGGTGGTCGATGTGTTGATCCGTTTCGCGAATCTATTAGACTTTGTAATGCCTTTTTCGACTCTGTCGAAAGCACCAGCCCGCGAGCCACGCGGATTCATCGTTTGTCTCGTAGAAAGTGTGCATATTATAGTATCGTTTTCCTGTCGACTTTTTCCTTCTTTTCAAACCTTTCACCGTCTTTGACCGACTGTTTCGAGGAATACCCCAGCTCCGCGACAGTTGCTGGCTGTTGTTAACGGGATAATAAGATCACAACGATCTAACGGGGCTCGTTCGTTTCATTAAAGGTCGGCATTAGGAATCGAAGAAGGGACCGCAGGACTGTCTCAATTTATCAATCAGAATTGCATTCTTCCTTCTCCCTCGTGATGAACGATACGATAACTTTTGCATAATCTGCTCGTTCGTAGACCGTGATTGGTCGTTTAACGATTAATTATTCATCAGCTGAACAGTGAACTGTTGTTCGGGTAAGGAGGCTTCTTCGTCCGTAACTCCATTTTTTCAGATGACGCCGGAATAAATCCCGAGAGATATTGTACGGTGGTTAATACATTCGTTCGAAAATGGCAGACTTGTATCTTCACCATCGGCGAACAGATCCTCACGTGAATAACGTTTCTCACTTCCTGTGAATCGCAATTGCCCGAATAGAGGCGATCTATCGCTAATTGGTCATTAGGAACTGTACGGAGCGACACGATTTTCAAACTTGCTGCCTGCTTCGTAAACGCAATTAAGCTAGCCGCTGCCTCGTTCTACTCGTCGAGCATCATGCTCTCGATGCTCTAACCCTCTAACGTGGAAACGCTTCGCGTTTCTCAAACACGTCGAGTCCTCTCGAAAAGTTGCAGCGATCTCAATTAGAGTCGTGCCAGTTCGACCGTCCTGCTTTTATTTTCGAAAAATTCTGTGCTCGTACACGGATTACCGTTGTCTCGGATAACGCGACATTGTCGCTGTCGAGATTACAGTTTTTTCGTTGCGGAAGTGAATCACTTGGTTTGTGAGATTGGTGCCGTAGGTCTACATCTACTGGTACTATGGCGGAATTTCCATTTTGTTAGACGTTCGAAGCCACCTTTCTCTTTTGAAACGAAGCAAATCTCTTTGCGCATTTTTCGACATCGTAAGTGAAATATCTACGTTCATTTAAGAAAGAGTCATTATCTCCTAAATCCTAAACACGCTTTCGAGTGTATGAACGTGTACATATGTGTATCAGTTGTGTTTCTCTTGGATTTTGTTAAATTTCAAAAAAAATTGAAGTACACATTTGTGTACAACCTGTTCAATCCTTGATAAAAGTTGGAAAGAGTTGGTCCCAACGAGACTACCCTTGCAGAGTCAACAATCGACAATGATTAAATCATCGCGACTCTTTAAATGACAATTACTTACCGTAACTCAACTAGAGCAGCGAAGTCGATGAAAAGGTTCGCGATTGAAATTACAGTGATTCCCATTGACATCGGTCGTGCGCGGTTGGACGATTTGTCCGTTTACCAGCCGTTAATTTATCGATCAGATTGTCAGTTGATCGCGTGACTGATCCCTTTCATACATTTTGTCCCGTGGATTTGATCGACGAGCTATTTACCAAATACTAAATATATATCGAGAGACTTTCCTTTCCCATTTGGATCGCGGCATCGTACACGCGCGTACGCCTACGTGTATATAGTAATTACAAACGCGGCTCGCATGCTGCGAACGAATAACGGTGTTCGCGAACACCATAACCTTGCTAACGTGAGAGCATCGGATAGGGATCCCGTGAGAATGTAGGTGAATTGCATGGTTGATTCTGTCGCAACGAACGGAATGCAGTTTCTCTCTCTCTCTCTCTCTCTCTCTCTCTCTCTCTCTCTTGGTCAGGCTCGAAACTCGACGCGTCCTGAATCCTTCGGGAGCCTGAGGCCTCTCCACCTTCGGCTCTCGAAGTCAATGCCCGAAATAATTAGCCGCGCGTTCTCCTCGCTAATTACTCTTTTGCGAAGCGCGGTGGTACTTTTACTTTGTTAATTAATTCCACCTTCGGCGTTTCTATCTTTCTTTCTTGACTTTTCGTTCGATCGTTGGCGAGGTGACGGGAGAGAAGATCGCCATTAGCAGTCGAGCTCGTTTTCGGTGGGCGTTCACGAGAGTATATTTGCATCGAGTATCTGTCGCGGGAGATACTCGTCAGTTCATATTTCGAAATTTCATCGACACCGTGGTTCTTGTGAATTGGATTCTCCGCAATTCTTCTTTTTTTTTTTTTTTCCTTGCCTTCGAAATATGTGTGCGTGTCGTGGAAGAGTTTCGTATTTTGAAATTTTAACACCGTGATTTTTGTGAAAACTCTTATTTTCGTGAGTACGATTTGGAAAATAGAACATCGTAGAGAATTAATCAGAGTTATCAAATATAAAGGTGTTATACTTTGAATATTTTACACACATATATATATGTATCTTTTCGCAGTATACTTATCCTGTGTGGTTTATTTATGATCACATCAGTAACATTTAAAACGAATTTAAAAATATATATGCTCAAGTTACGAGACATTTACACTCAACATACATTCAGAGAAAAATTAGTATACCGCGTAAATAGCCATCTCAAATGTATAATAAATATTAAATATGGCCTGAATTTCAAGGCTTATTAATATTTAAATATCTCGCAAAATATTACATCCTTTTAAAAAACTTTCCAGGAAAAATCAATAAAAGAATAAAAATTAATAAAACCCTATTATTATTATTATTTTGTATAGAAACTTATAGGACTAAACTTTCCTATCTGTTAAAATTAATAGATAGGAAATGATTGGTCCTGTGTCCGTAAGATTCCATTAGCGCAATCTGTCGGCTAGTAAATATTATCATTACACGCATATCTGGCGAGGCAATCGAATGCATCTAGAACCGGTAATATTTTTTACGAATGTTTTGCACATAAGACAGAATTATGTTACCTCGTTACCTCGTGAAACGCATGCTATGTTTACCATGAATTTCTTGCAAACTCTTGCATCTCCCCGGAATTACTTCTCTCTCGAGGGAACACTAAACAGTTTCATGGATGAAATAATGCATTGATTATTACACCGTGCGAAATACTTAGAGAGATGAACGAAAGATGAGAAATTGTCGATATTTAAAAATTTTTAAACTTACATAAATCCAAAAATCGGCTCATTTTAAAACACGAAGCCTTTACTTTGGAAAGCCTTTAAATTTGTTTCTTTCTTTTTTCTTTTTTTTTTCTTTCTTTCCAAAGATACCTTTGTTAAAAAAAAAAAAATTCAAACTTCAATCTCTAAAATCAATAAAAAATTTTTTGGATCTGCCAATTGGATCTCGAAAATTAACGTCTCTCTTTTCAACACTTGTTCTACGATTTTTCCTCGAAACATTTTTTGAATTTTTATCGAACTTTAACTAAAGTTCCAAGTTCAATAAAATGGCGAGGAAAGATGCTGTGGTAAGTATTAAGACGTCGTTGCAAAGAGTTCGAGGCTTCAGTCTTCGACATCATGGTGTGATGTTTAGTCGTGGAAAAAAAAAAAAAAATGTTAGTCAGTGATTTCAGAGACGTTTTAGAGACATAGTGTGCATAATTTGCGAGATCGGTACCAGTCGACTCGTGATTTCCTTGTTTCGTCGTTTGACCTCGTGACGCAATTTGAAACAACGTCTAACGCGACTTGGAAGAAAAAGAAAGAAACGTCGAAGGGATTTATCCGTGGAAGTGTAGACCGAGCTATGCGCCGTCTCTCGAGGCGGTAACGGCAGAGTTAACGGTACACCATTCCAGTCCAATATTTATTCTTTTCGCTGGTAAACGCGACATTTGGTACCTTCGCTGAAAGATTCGACAGGTGTCCAATAGTCCATTTGATCGTGAACACGTAGTTTCGACCCAGTGTTTAACTCAAAGAAGATTTTCAATACACTTACACAAGAATTTACCGATTAACAATAATTACAATAGTTACACGCATGTTTTACCATTTTGCAGGATTATTTTAGTTTGTACTTCTTCAAATTCAATTCGATTTATTATAAAATTTATTGTCATATGAGTCAAGGGTTATAAAATTTTATTAACGATAGCTTGGCATGTATCGAGTTAGTTTCAATGATAATTATCTCTGGTGTTATTAAAAATATGAATATTCTTCGTACATCCCATATAATCACTATTAATCTCATTATACCTGGAAAGTATTTATAAAAAATATTTGCAGCATCGTTTCCCTGCTTTTCAGACGAAGCAGTCGATCAATATGACTTCTCGATGATTGAATTGCAAGAATGAATCGTCAATTGTACATTGTGTTTCGAATATTTATTCTGCTTGTAGCCACAAGCATACTCTGTATATATTTCCCAACAGTAGAATAATAAAATCAAGAATTTTTCACGAAAGAATCAGCTGAGTGTGTCGCGGCAAGCTTATCGATCTCAATTAGTTTCGACTGTTTTGAGAATTCGCATGATTCAGAGACCTCTCTGACGTTAGTTGGCAGTTGTCTCGTGACGAATACTGCCAGAAACTTCTCGTTCTTCCTTTTCGGAGACGAAATCTCGAATATGACGAACCAACAGACTTTCTGTCTTTCCACCACGTACGACGACGTGATTTCGTGACACTTTCACAACTAAGGTGCTCGGGCGAAAGTCGAGTGACGAAACTCTATGCCGGATACGTTCCTTCGTGTCCATCCGCATTGACGATGACGTTAGATTAGGCGATCGTTCTTCTCGTTGCGTGGATGAAACATCAAGAACAAAATACGTTTAATTCTAAATAATTACAGCAGAATTATCTCATCGATAACAAGATCACACGCCTAATCTCCTAAAAAATTTGCACAAGTCAATGAACTGCTAGGATCTGAATTTATCATTGGCTTCCAACATTCTCGAGTTTTTATTCTGCTGTTATTACTTCCGATCTTACGAAGATTTCACCTTTTTTGTTTTTACATTGTGTTATTGATGAACTGCGTGAAAGCATAGATTTCATTCGTTGCGTTCGTGCAGTAATGTTAAGACTGGGACGTGGAGATCTCGAAGTAACAGGTACGTGCCAGAACGCAAATGCACGTCATGCTTGCAGCTTTCTCCTTTGTCGCTTCTGAAGCGACGCGTGTGACGATGTACATTGATGGTATATAAGCGAAATTTAGTAGTTCAGTGGCTTAGAAAACAGGATTCAGCGTTTGGGATAAAGGACAGTGTTGTAAATACGAATTCTTTGAAATTGATTTCACAGGAAATTGTAACAGGATGTTGTAAATACGATATTTCGAAATTGACTAAGACAATTAATTTTCCATTCTTCTATTTATTTTTAATAGAATGAAAGAAAGGAGCAACAATTAGGAATACTTAAGTTTCAAAATAGCACCTAGAGAAATGGTCGAACTCTGAAACTGCCAGTTGGAAAGTGATCTCTATGAGCGAGATAACAACTCATTATTTTTCTAAACTTTCTATTTATTTTCGACACGTTCAGTTAGTAGAGGACTCTCAATTTTTTCAGTCAAGATTCTTCTATTTATTAATAATTCAGTCAAGATTCTTATATTTATAAATAATATCGAAAGATTCGAGTCACCAAAGTTAAACCTCGGCGAAATATTCCGACAATTCTTTTCTTTCTCAGAATGTTCGCCAAGTACACCAAGATACATATATTTCAGCGAATATATGATTACCAATCTTGGAATCGTACCAAATCATCGAGGACAGGTTTTATCCGGATGAGTGCAAAATATTCATGCGATATATTCTTTCTTTCACGATACGGATGTGCAAGTATGTAGAAATGTATATCCGGTTCCATTTAACTTTCTTGTATCGAGTACGACGAGGCGTATGAACAATTCACTGTGAGAATCTTGCAAATGCAACTGCAAAGTTGCAACTAAAGTCGCGGTGGTAATGTATCGTGGAGAAAAAAGGAAAATCAAAAGTTCAACGGCCTAGCCACGAGTTAACCTGCTTATAAATATGTAAAATGCAAAGTTCGAGTTAATGAAGTTTTTGCACGCATCGAGGGCCATCTGTTTTTCCGTTGAACGCCTCGCGTTAATAAAGCCCGGCTCTAATTAGAGGGAAAGAAAGGAATTAACGAAATCTCGTATTAAGATGTGAAATTAGCGTCTCGAGACTTCTCGATTATCAATTCGGACGTTTCTAAATAAATTTATACGCGATGATTGGAAATTCGGAAAGGTGATAATTTATCATCTCGATATTTTCCAAGAAATCGGATAGTTTCGTAGCTTATTTTTCCAGATTCTATTAAATATTCATTACTCAGATACGTATCCAATAGTAAAAAGTTAACGAAATATCGTGTACAGTAATATATAAATTATATTGTACAGTTCAAAATTTTATAAAATTTTAGTTAGACCTTTTAAGGACGTGAACAGTATTAAAATTGCGAGTGTCAATAACAAATAGGAGAATGAAAAATTTATTTTCACGGTTAGATTTGTCGTAGCATATTTTAATGGCAATAAGAAAGCAACAATTCAGAATATTTGATTTCTAAAATAGTCTCCAAATTTTGCTTTTTACTTCACTATTTCGATCTTGTCGCTCGAACGTCATGAAATTTTCGACAGAGGTCAAGATACCGGTTTAAAACTCGACCGCACGTGGCCGCTTGAAAAGCCCATCAAACAGGTTCACGCGTTAATTCGCCGAATATTTGCATCGTTTTATGGCCTAGCGTCAATTGTCCATTGCTATGGTCTACACACGTGTGCCGTGATGTTCCCGCAAGAATGTTACCTGTTTACGATGGAATTACGTGTACCTGCGTTTTGCCTCGATGATGTATTCCCTCAAAGGAAACGAGGAATTATCTTATTAATTGGAATATCCAATTACCTATTTCTTCAGATCGTAAATCACGTTTCGCGGGAAGCTGAATCTTATATTCAACTTTAATTGCAGATACGAACGTAGAATTTTAATTAAGTAGTATACTCTCTTGGGTTGTGAATTTCTCTTCGGTCTTTTAGCCCGATTTGCTGTTTGCTCGTTCGTTACCTTCCATTTTTACTGAATCTCATTTCAAATGTGCAACTTATTGTTAGACTGACGAATTATAATAACGAGGAAAAAAGAAACTAACGATGTAACTTTTAGTTCAGACGATTGCTTTTGAACGTTCGATTTTCATCGAAATTACATCGCAATGGGAAATGATTCTTACAATTATGTTGGTAAAATTTGAAACTAACCCGAGTCACAAGATATTTATTGTAAATTCAAAGATGAATAACAATCTTAAGCATGTAATGAACGTCGAAAGATGGTCCCATCGATATCGATATTTATTCTGACCATTTCGTTTGATTTGAATGTAATTATGACAATTCTCTTCACGATATTGGCTGGTCAAATGTCAGAATTTTTTTTTATATATAAGACACATGACACATACATAAAATACATTCGAACGCGTTCGAAACAACTGTACATCCGCTTACCTAGTAGAATTTGGACCGACAAGGTCACCAGGACCTTCGACCCCACGATTCCTCCAGCTATCATCCTGATCCGATGGACCCGTTCGTCGGTATTCGCGCTCGTTGGAGTGTCGTCGTGCCGCGTTCTTCGTCCTGATCAAGGCCAAGTTAATGGTCAAGGACACTCGGAAGGACCTCCACAAGATCACTCGTACCTGGACCAGTCTTTATCGTCGCGATACGTGCCACGGTGCCAGCCGATCGCCGCCATTTTGCTTCGCAAGCCTATGCCGAGTAAAAACGTCGGGCATCGTGGAAACATTAATGCCCCCGTCTCGCCATTCTTTCCTTTCCACGTCCGATCCTTACCCACCGATCACTTTTTTTTCCTTTCCTCTCTTTTATTCGGTCTCGCACTCTCGCGCACGCCCGGTTGACCTACTTGGCCCGCGGATAGGTCCGGTGTTTGTACGCGCACCAGCTTTTCGGCCAGCGTAGTAAGTACGACAAACACGCAGTTCGTCACCCTATTTTCTCTGCTTTTTTTTTACGTTCCTTTCTCAGGAGTCCCTCCTTCTTCCCTGTTCAACTTTCTCGTTATTACGCTGACACGTATATCGTGTGTCAGTGTGTTTCACCATCCGCCTAGCAATGCGGGCTGATGTCGTGCAGAGATACACGGCGTGTCCTTATTAGAAGTTTCTCTTGAAACTGGATTTCCAAGAGGAAATTTCGACGAACGTTGGAGCACGAGATTGTTTCAGATTTGAGACTTTATTTATCCATTTTACTGGATATCTTCTACGATGAAAGTTTTCTCTCTTTTCCTTGCACGATCGTCCAGCTAGTATCACAGAACTGCACTCACCTCTCCTACACTACGAATCACACAAACCTGTCCGGAAGAATGTTGCCAATTCCGCACTCGTCAACAAGATTATCCAACTTTTTCCAATCACTGCTCAAACTACCATTAATCTTTGATCAATCTTCTATCGACGATTCGCGCGATCGTTCGTTCCACCGATCGTAAGTAACTCGTTCGATCAGTCAGTTCTTCGAGGAAATTGGAGCCCTGGAAACATGAAAACCCTCAAGATTCGATCGTGTTTCGTTGGAGTTTCGTTCGAGGTTTGCTTCACGGTCGTTCACACGGGACTGGCTCACTGTGAGCACGGTCATACACGGTTTCTCCCACTTTAACTATGCCATGCTACACCATGGTGCACTATACACTCTTCTAGAGTATATACGTCACGTCTTCGTGGCTGGTTTCCACCATGCTGGGTTCTACCGTCCACTCGACTCCTGTTCTGCCCCCCTCTTCGTCGAAATTTCTCTCTCTCCATCTCCTTTCTTCTTTCTTTCGTACGAGGTCCGGCTATCCTCCTTCCTCCACTCGTTTCTTCGTCCTTCTCTCTCCTTGCATTTTGACGGGGTCTGGCCTTTTGCCTCGACCTACCTTTTCGATCCTTTCGGGACTCCGCTCATTCCTTTTCCCAATCTTCGTCCCGACTACGCGACCTCGCGCGTCTTTAACACATTCGCCCTTTACCTCTTTCTCCTTTTCGTTCGCCGACCTCTTCCTCGTCTGCAGCCTCCTCTTCAGCCGAGCGAATCTTGCCTGCGCGACTTTCTCGTTCTCGAAGCACCTCCTCGCGCGCTCAGCAATTGTTTCCACCTGCGCCATGACGTTTTAGATATTTGATTATTCTATTTACGGGTCATATTTGCTATTCGATCTTTTCAACGAGGAGGAACTCGAGTCACTGAACTTTGAAGATCCTTCGATTGTTTATTGGAAATATCTTTTGTTGGTTTTTTTTTTTTTCTCCAAAGCTGGAGAAGATAATGGGATAAAGTGTAAATTTATTTATATAATATTAAAATTTTTATTTTTAGTATTAATTAATAATAGATAAATTTTATAATTTATTAATTTTAAAAGAAAAAGATTAGAAATTTATAAAATCTGTTATATACATAATATTTTAATATTATATATGTATATATATAATATCAAATATATAAATATTTTATAATTTATTAATTTTAAAAGAAAAAGATTAGAAATTCATAAAATTTGTTATATATATATAATTATTATTTAAAAAAATTTTTTTAATTTTATAAAATAAGATATAATGATTGAATTAGTAGTAATACATGTATAATGTATTATATTATGCTAAAATCATAAAATAAATAAATGTCCAAGCGGTCACGTGGAGCGTGAAAGGGTTAAAGAGCTCGCAGGTACACGCAAGAGGAAATATTTTCACGTAATTATCATAAAGCAACAGAAGAGCCGCGAGCCGCACGCACGAAGCTCGTGAAGGAGTGCCTCTGCAACGTCTCGATCATTCTTCCGAAGTGCCCCGCAATGCCCTCGCGGTGTTGTACAGCTGCGACCCTTCATTTTCTTATTCTTCGTCTTTCTTCGTTCTCGGTATGGTAAAACCAGACTGGAATGCGCAGGGCTGTCTCGATCAGTCGAGAACAGCATTGATCTTCGAGCACAATGCACCACACTCGCCACTGAAATTTTGCATCGTGATGTTCAATTATTATTCGCCTTTCTCCTAGCGTTTCACGCGCCGTGAAAGAAAACCTGCCACATAAATTGTTGTCAAAACAACAATGCGTTTCCAGGTTCATTTACTTGGAATTTATCGGTAGACAAACACACGTTTCAAAAGCTTCAAAAGCTCACTTTCTGGACGAAACGATCTTCTTCGGAGAAATAGGAATATCATATATAATTGCAACGTCGATGCATATTCGGTAGAAAAAATGATATTATGAACGAAATGTCTATATAAGGAAGGTGTTGTTCCTTTTGGTGTATTTCAAATTTTTGGATTTACATACAAAGTATTGGAGTTTACATAATTTCCTAATGAAAAAATAGAACTGAGAATATTTTAATATTACGTAACAGTAATTAATAACGTTTCTACGCAGCGAATTAATTAATATTGTATTTGGTACGGTGACTCGGTCGCGTGCTCGAAAATTTCTCCCGGTTTCCTTTTTCCTCGTCCTCGAGTACAACTCTTTTTTAAGGTTTCGTTTAAAATTCCTCCACGGTATTCCCTCAGAATACAGTGTCGTCGGCGTTTTACCGATTGACCTCACGTAATACGGGCGCACCTTTTCCTATCCGCGAACTTTGAGAGAAGCTCAGTGGGCTCGTCCTCATAGTAACGCAACGCGTACGGAGAATTAAAATTGCACTTGCGTATAACGGGTAGCCTGTTGGCCAAGTATCCATGAAATTACTCGGTCAGTAACTCATCCGGGATAAGAATAATAGAATGAGCGATCGTTTCATTATTCCAATCGATTTAGAATAACTGGATGCATCTTAAGTTGCTCTGTTGGTTTACTTTTTGTTCGAAGGTGTTTGAAGGTTTAACGACACGCTCGAAATCGTTCAAACGTGCACTTTAAATTTCATGAGAGTGTTGGATAACGTTTATGATACGGTAGATAAAGCAATGGACACGAAATGTTCATATTTTTAGACGCGTGTGAGTTTGCAATTTTTCATAATTCTAGTTAGTTCAATGGTATAACGCTATTGTTGAAGAAATTTTTAGTAAGAGTCTTAAAATCTCACAAACATCATGCAATCGGAGTTTGTATAGGAGTTCACTGATTTTCCCCTCTAGTATTTTTCGTTTGTCTGATAGGACTTCAAGTTCGTACGAGTGGATTCAATTAGCAAGGGTTGACTTAATCAGGCATTGACAACGTTTTGGAAATTATTTAGAAATGAAGATAAAAATATAGAATGGAATGCTGGGAGAAATTTCGAGATCGTTGCTTTCTTTAATTTTGAAGTGATTTTATCTAAGAAATAATGGAAGAAATGATCAGTCAGAGATAAAATTAATGCCCAGAACCTTGTTCTTTATTGTACAGGTACAAAATAATTTACATTTATATATCCTAAATTCGAAATTGTTTAAATCTAGCGATAAGAGTACGTGTGGCTGATTAGATTGACATAAACGTAATTTAACTTAAAAAAAAAAAAAAAAAAAAAAATAGAAAAATATATAAATAAATTAAATCCATGCATTTGTATGAACCATTTACACAGCGACAGACTACAAAAAAAAAAAGATGTTGCTGACGTTGCAACTTCTCACGTAACGATATATACATATATCGCTGATCTTACGTCGGCGTATCCAGAATAGTCCAAAACCCCTGAGCAGAATGGCCAGAGGAAATGTTGAATCCGAAAGACCTGTGTCAGCTTTGTTCTCTCCGTCGTGCAGTGCAGTCGTCGAGAGATCGATCGGGAAGCATGTCGACTGTCTCGGCTCCCCCCGATGGCCGACGAAAGGAGGATTGGAGGGGGTGGTTGAGCGAACGTCGTATCAACTGGAAAACATCGTGTCCAGGCAGTGTTTCTCTCCTCGTGGGCTCGGATATGCCTCGATCCTAGTCTCGTAAGGAGCTACCGGATGTGTTGTTTGAGTATAGTCACGGTCGATGGTACTGTATGCACTGTTGAACGCGCGACCATGTGTTTTGCTTGAGGCTGGTGGGAGGAGTGCAGAACGTTGCTTTAGTCTAATTGCAAATGATAATGACTTGCACGACGTTGTTTTGCTAGATGCAGTCTCGTACGTGTGTACGTCGGTTTGGATTAAATTAGGAGGACATTTCGGATCATTAGAGTAGAGTGTATCGATGTAACATCTTGTGTCGAATGCGTCAAAGATTGTGTGTTTAATGTTCTTACGTTCCTGTGTCACGTTCCTTTCTCACGTGCTGTTACCAGGTTATTATATTTATGTAAAATTGTACAATTATGTTATATTATATATAAATTTATATAATTATATTAAATTATATATAAATTTGTATAATTACATTATATTATATACAAATTTGTATAATTATGTTATATTATATACAAATTTATATAATTACATTATATTATATACAAATTTATAAAATTACATTATATACAAATTTGTATAATTATATTATATACAAATTTATAAAATTACATTATATACAAATTTGTATAATTATATTATATACAAATTTATATAATTACGTTATATTATATACAAATTTATAAAATTACATTATATACAAATTTATATAATTATTATATTTATATAAAATCTATATTATATTTATATAAAATCTGTATTAAATTTTTAAATTTTATATAATTATTATATTTATATAAAATCTTCTGTATTAAATTTTATCTTACGTTCTTACATTCTTACGTTTTGTTATATTAAATGTATTAAATACAAATCTTGTATCAAATAGGAAGAAAAAGGAATTCTGTTGTTGGTGCTGGTTGCTCTCTCTCTCTCTCTTTCTCTTTCTCTCTTTCTGCAAACATCTCTCGAAACACGTGCTCGGAAAGCGACGAAAGCCGACCAACTCTAAGCGGCAACTCTAAGCACCGAGGGAAAGCAGGGGGGAAATTGCCTCCGGTTTTTTCAAACGGCTCGCGCACCACGAAACTTTCCACCGTTCCAGGGGGATCTTTAGGGGATTTTTACTCCCGTTTACGCTCGTTTCGCGCACGTTTGCCAACGATCGTCGCCGGTCTTTTGTTTGCCAACGCCGGCGCCGCTTGTAATTCGCGCGAACGCGGAGCAGCAGCTCGCTGAAATCCAGGGGGCAGCGATTAGCAAGTGCCACCTACGAACGAATCGATTCCGATGAAACGCAAGCAAACACTCTGGCTGTTAGGGCGTGAGAAAAAAGAAAAAGGAAGTAAAAATAAACAGGAAAAGTGCAACCAGGCAATTTGGAAAAAGTAGTATGCTAGATGGCGAGTCGAAAGTGGACGATTTTAGAGAAATTAGGGATTTATTTGCGAATGAATATATTAAGTATAATATATTTAATTTTCTTCGTTTACAAAATTTGAATCAACGAAAATTTCTTAATGGTGTCTCAGTGGTTAACTACGTGCTTTTGTACAAATAATTTAAATATTTTTCTAGACAGAAGCTAATAGTTTAAACTAATAATTTAAATGTTTTTCTAGATAGGAACTAATAATTTAGATATTTTTCTAGATAGAAGCTGTAGTTTAAATATTTCCTTAAATTTAAATATTTTTCTAGATAGAAACTATAATTTAAATATAGATAGAAACTAATAATTTAAATATTTTTCTAGACAGAAACGTTTATTAAATTTAATAATCCTCCCAATTAAATGTTAATTTAAGCTTCGTATTAAGTACAAAAATAAATTAATATAAAACTCTAGACGGGTTTTAT